AGGTGCTAGACAGATGACCTCATAGCCGTCTGGGAGTTAAAGGAGGAGAGATAGAGATTGGAAGCTCTTGGAAGGATAGTGGAAGCTAGAAGGGTCGACGAGCAACTTTGGATGGCAGTAGGAGGGGACCTTCCTCCTTTAGCAGGCTACCTGATTCAGAACGGGCTAGGAGACCTAGCAAGGAGGACGGAGCTAGACGCTCGGGGGCTCTTGAGGGGTGCTGATCAGGAGACATTGGTTAGGCTTGGAACCGCGATCTGCCGCAGGAGTAGAGACCCTGTCACGGGTGTATTGCGGATCCGGAGAGGCGCGGCTTTGTTGGCCGATCCCCGAGGAGAGGTTTACCTAAACACAGTGATTCTTGGGATAGAGGGAGAGCACGAGATCCGCGACCGGTACGGAGTACTGGAGGTGGTAATCAGGGCAGTCGAGGACTAGGATTGGAAACGAGCGTGAACCGTGACAAGGAAACTGGTCCGGGCTGCGAGTTTTGTCATAGGTCCGGGCTGTAACGCCCGGCGTGAGAGCCCAACTGCATCATCTGGTGGCCTATGGAACCAGACACGATGAGGCCACAACCAACCACGGGCGAAGCGGGGGAGGAGTACAAGACATCGCCCGACCGAGCTCTGAGGGATCTGAAGGAACGAATTAGGCGAGAAGCACTGCTGAGATGGGCTGACCAAACCAATGACGGAGAGCCCGACGTAATGGGCGAGGCGGTTGTGACAGAGCCGCAGGAGGCTCTGAAGACAGGAACCTCGAGCGGACGACGAGAAGCGACGAGACGACGTTCCCCCGAGTATGAGCGGAGGGAGGCCATGGCGGATAGGCACAGGGACGACTGGAGAGAGAGTTCGAGGGCATCCTATTGGAGGGTCAGAGACAGGGATAGAGCGCCGCCCAGGCGAGTCTTCGACCCCCAGACCGGGGAGTCACATCCGCTCCCTTATGAGAGCAAGGATCGCTATATTATTACGCACAAGGCCTCGGAGCCCCCTACTTTCAGGGGTTATGGCATCACAAAATATCTGGAAAAGTGGGAACTTCACGCCAGCCGGAGTCAGTGGTCGGAGGAAGAGATTATAGAGAACTTCCTATTTAATGTAGATCCAAGTCTCGGCAAGGAAGTTAAGGAAGACCGACCCAAGGATGGGAAATGGACTACGTACAAAAAGAACCTCGTAGAGCTTTACAAATTGGAGGATAACAAGTACTCCATCCAAGACCTCGAGACAATGACTCAAGATGGAGATGAGAGCGTATGGGCATTTGGGATGTGTTTCCAAAAGATCTCCTACGTGCTGATGAAGAAGGGGAAGATCTCGGAGGTCGAGCGTTGTACTATCTTCATCGGACACTTATCCAAAGGTAGACAAAAGAGTATACTTAGAGATCTTTCGCGGAACAAGCTTGATTTCCCAGAAGTCCTAAAGCTCGCGATAAAGGCAGAGGCAGACGACTACAAGGACTTGGTGTGGAGAGGGATGAGGAGACGTGACTTCTCTCTCTACAAGGAGTATACCACTGATAGATGTCCCGATTTCAAGGACTATTCCTGGTCGGAAAAGAATGAAGCTGTGGCCGAGGAAGTGAAGGAGATAAGGGACATAGTAAAGGGATTGACAAGACAGGTTACAAAGATTGTGACCACCACCGGAGCCACGGCATATCGGGACAAGTCCGGAGGGTCCTATTCACTTCGCTGGGACCGGAGGAACACTGATTCCTGGAGGAGTGTCGAGGATAGAAATCCCCGAACGTTGACTGATTATTGTGCGAGGGAAAGGGAGAGAGACGATGAACCATGGCGGCGTAGGGATGATGAGATAGACCGGGACTGCAGGACTCGCGAGACGTACGGGCGTGCTAGGAGACTCGATGACTACTCGCGTAGCCCTCGCTATGAGCCTGACGGGGGTAGAGGCGACTCTCGAGGCCGGTGGGAGTCGGATCAGGACCGGCGAGACGGATTCAGGGACGGCAGATATGCGAGATCGGACCGAGATGGACATAGGGACGACATATATGAGAGATCGGACCGAGATGGACATAAAGACGACAAATATGAGAGGATGGATCGAGACGGATACAGGGGCGGCAAATATGAGAGAGGGGATCGGCCCGATGATTCACGCGGACGGTACGACCGAGATGACCGGCGTGATGATTCACCGAGGGGTACGACCGAGGAGACCGACGTGATGATTCATGTGGGCGGTACGACCGAGGAGACCGGCGTGATGATTCACGCGGGCGATACAACCGAGGAGACCGACGTGATGATTCACGCGGGCGATACGACTGAGGAGACCGACGCGATGATTCACGCGGGCGATACGAACACGGAGACCGCCGTAATGATTTGCGCGACAGGAATGAGAGAGGGGGATATGGCGCTTCGGCTGATCCGTATCCAAAGTCCCCTAACCCCAGAGCAACCAGAGGTTCGACTTCTAGGAGCGCAGACGACAGGCCGCCAACTCCCAGGAACTCTTGCGTCTATTGTAGAGGGGATGATCATATCAAGAGAGACTGCCCGGATCTCAAACGGGCGATAGATGAGGGACTTGTCGTGCTTGACGACCGCAAGTACGTCAAGTGGGCAGATGATCTGGGAGATGTATCGATGTTCCCTTCGATGAAGGAGAATGTCGAAGCAAGGAGAGTAAAGCCGAGTAAAGGAAAGAAGTCGGTCAGGAGCCAGAGCATCAAGATAACTTTTGAGGGGGATATGGCGACCACACCCATAAGGGTGGCGACCACCAAGTCGGCGAGAGGGTCTACATCGAAGAAGACTGACACGGATAACGTGATGGCGGAGAAGGACGGACAACGGATCGAGGGAGAGGAAGTTATTGTTTCGCCGCGGAAGCGGGGAGTGAAGAAGTTCTTGATGAAGAGTTCGCTGAACGAGATTGACACGGTCGAGCCACTGAGGCGGGCCCTTCGGCAGCCCATTTTAGTGCTTTATTCTGGAGTACCTGGCGGCATCGAAACCTGCTCGCGATGAGTTACAGATGATCACGCGGAAGACTCGCATACCTCTATCAGAGGAGGCTCAGGGGGCCCCTAAGGCGGAAGCTCCTACTGTAGCAGTAACGGGGGTGACTGCCAGAGCAGATCGCATGGCGACAGTCCTTCTTGATGGGATGGAAGGTGTGCCTCCAGACAAGTTTTACATACTTGGTAGTGGGACCGTGGAGGCGATCATAAATGACGGAGCGGTACTAGATGCTGTGGTCGATAACGACAGTGAGGCTGTTATTATAGACGAGGATCTGACAGTGCAGGTTGGACTAGGCCTCGATAGGTAATACCTATTCGAGATAGAGACGGCTGATGGGAGAAAGCAACAGATCACTGGGGTTTGTCACAAGGCAGCCATAGAGGTACAAGGGGTACGAGTGACCCTGCCCGTCTTTGCAGTCAAGAACTGCAGCTCCGATCTGCTCTTGGGACGAACGTGGTTGAGCCACGTGCATGCGGTGACGATAGAGCGACCGGAYKGGAGCCAGACATTGTCCATTAAGAAGCTAGACGGGACGCGGGTAATGATTGAGACGGTGGAGCCTCGGGACCCGAGGAACAGAGCATCTTTAGCTGTGGGTGCAAGACCCAGTGATCAGATTAGGTCATTACCTATCTCCGGCCGCGCGGTGTGATTTCGCGAAAAGAAGTATGGACCACTGCTCACAGAGGAAGAAGGTCGGATCGTGGAGGTGGAAGATTTAGGGAGTCAGCTGATAGTGGACGACAACTCGTACCCAAAGGAGAAAGAAGAGGAATTTGGCGGGGTAGTATCTGTGTCTTTTTTAAGGGCACCACCCCCTATGGGGGGCTACCCAAGCGACACAAGCGAGTAGCACAAAAAGTTAAACCAGCGGCGGTGGGCCGCGAGCGATCTACACTGGAAGGGATATCGGAAGAAGAGATCCCAAAAGAAATCAAAGAAAGAAAGAAAAAGGAGCCGCAACGCCTAACAGAAGAGAGGATATTAGGGATGGACATCGGAGATGGGAATCTGACCCCACAGGAGCGAGAACGTGTGATAGAAATCCTGAAGACATGTGATAAGGCAATAGCTTTCAGCGATGCGGAGCACGGTAGCGTTGACCCTCGATACGCTAAGCCAGCAAGGATTTACACGATTCCACATGTTCCTTGGAATGACGCAGGATGGAAATACGCCCAGAAGGAGAAGGAAGAAGTTATCGCTTTCCTGAAGGAAAAAATGGTTTCCCATGTTGCGGAACCGATAGATAGCGCCTATGCTAATCGATGGTTCTTCCTACGGAAGCCGAATGGCAAGATCCGATGGATCCAGGACCTTCAGAAGGTCAACGCGGTGACGATACGAGACGTGGGCTCCGTGCCACACGCCGACTTACTGGCCGAAGGCACCGCAGACAGGTCGATTTATTCGGTCTGTGATATGTTCTCAGGCTATGATGAGGTACCGCTTGATCCTAGGGACAGACACCTCACGGCTATGCACACGCCATTGGGACTGATACAGATGATGGTTGTCCCTATGGGTTGGACTAATGGGGTAGCCGTTTTTCAGAGAGCCGTGATAGCCGTCCTCAAGGACTTCATCCCTGATAAGGTTGAAGTTTTTCTGAATGACTTTCCTATAAAAGGGCCAGTAAACAAGGATGAGACAGAGGTTGTACCAGGAGTTGAAAGATTCGTCGAGCAGCACCTAACAAATATTTGCGCAATACTCGAGCAGCTGGATGATGCGAATTTAACGGTCAGCGGAACAAAGAGCCGATGGGCCGTCTCGACTATTAAGATCTTAGGCTTTATCTGTGACTAGAGAGGACGCCGAGCAGATCCGGCGAAGTTAGACAACTCCTGAACTGGCCGTCACCGTTACATAGTCCAACCGAGGTTCGACAGTTTCTGGGAGTGGTCGGTTACTGGCGTATATTCATACAAGGGTATGCGGAGAAGGCCGAGCCATTGTGGTTACTCCTTCGAAAGACTGAGAAATTCTACTGGGATTCCTGGCAGGAACTCGCTATGCAAGAACTTAAAGACGAATTTAAGGAGGGAGGACGCGTACTGGGCGTGCCATTCTTTGACGATGAGACCGACAGACCCTTCATAGTATCCACGGATGCTGGACCGTGTTTAGTAGGTGGATTGCTGTCTCATAAGGACGCTAGAGGGAAAGAGAGACCGTTAAGATTTGAGAGTAGAACACTTAATGCGGCTGAGCGTAACTACAGTCAGTTCAAGAAAGAGGTGTTAGCTGTTCTACGGTGTCTAGACACGTTCAGACATTATATCTATGGCCGTCGGTTCATCCTGAGAGTAGATCCCACCGCGGTTGCCTCTGTCCTCGAGAAGGACTTTAGCCTGACAGACCCGACCATTGCACGATGGATAATACGGATTCGGCTATATGATTACACAGTAGAGAGGATATCTGGCACTAAAAATGTCGTAGCGGATGGGCTCTCTCGGATCCCTCTTGAGGGCGAGCGCTCGATACTAGCTGAAGCTCTGACAATGGCGGAGACGAGACGCGCCGAGCGATTTCTGGTTAACCTTTACGAGGGCAAGTACCGAATGATCGGGCTACACCTGACAGGACAGGAGAGTCAAGATTCAGATATCCGGAGACAAGCAGCCAAGTACTGCCTTAGAGCGGGCCACCTTTTTCGAAGGCCAGTAGGGTCGGGGATGCCCTTACGAGTAGTCTGTAATCCTGAGGAGAGACAGACGATAGTGGCGGAGCTTCACGACGGGGTGGTCGGAGGACATAGAGGAGTCAGAGGGACCTACGAAAAGGTACGCAGGTTGTACTGGTGGGAAGGACAGTATAAGGACGTCGAGAGGCACTGTATGACCTGCGAGGAGTGCCAGAAAAGAGCTCTTGTGAAATACAAAGAGCCACTTCAACCATCCTATCCAACCAGACCGGGAGAGAAGGTACACATCGATTTGGTGAAGATGCCGAAAGGGGTAGGCAATATGAACTATGTCGTGAACATACGAGACGACTTCACGGGGTTCATGGACCGTAGACCTATCAGGAGTAAGACGACAAAGGAAGTGAAGAACTTCGTCCTAGAGTACTTATCTAGGTATGGTTGCGTCAGCAAGATAGTGATGGACAGAGGGGCGGAGTTTCTAGCTGACGAGGTTCAAAGTGTGTTCAAGAGAGCCGGGGCAAGAGTTTCGATAGCTACCGCCTATCACCCACAGTCGAACTCCCCCGTAGAGAGGGGGCATCAGACTCTGATAGCGTCACTATCCAAGTGGTGCAAAGGTAAGGACAGTGATTGGCCACGATATTTTCGATACGCGATATGGGCGGACAACGTCACGGTCCGGGCTAGCACTGGATACCCACCATACACCTTACGGTTTGGGCGGCATTGTCCGCTCCCCATAGAGTTTCACGTCGACAGCTGGACAACTGTCGACTGGACGGAGGAGATGTCCAGATAGGAACTCATAGCTGCCCGAACAAGACAGATAGCCTACGGTTTAGAGGATAGCCTTATGACAGCGGCAAATCGTCTAGCAGTGGAAAGGGAGAAAGGTAAAGAGAGATGGGATAAGAACGTCGAATCAGGAAAGAGAGGGTGAGCGTAGGAGATATGGTCCTTCTCTACGACGCGGCACTGGAGAGGACCTGGACCGGAAAACTCGCCAACAGATGGATGGGACCTTACAGAGTGGTTGAGGCACTCGACTGGGGTGCATATATGATAGCAGAATTAGACGGATCCAAGTGGAAGGACCCAGTGGCGGGTGCTAGGTTAAAGCTGTTTAGACCCAGGCCCGTCCCCACCTTATCGTTGACAAGCCCGAAAGGGAAAGGAAAAGTCAGAATGGAGGATGGAGCCCCCTTGAGGCGATTCGAGGCAGGGGAGAGTTCCAAGAAGAGGAAAAGAATAGAGAAAAGAAAGGTCAAAGGGTTGGCTTTAGAAAGAGAGAAGAGATGATTATTTGTGCTCAAGAGGGCTAGACGGAGAGTTCGCATTAGACGTACTGGCGGGTCGGCACCCTTCTCGGAGCAAAGACAGAGGAAAAAGACGATCGTGTCGAGGCCAAAAACCAGCAGGAACAGGAAAGTAAAAAAGCACCAAGAAGCATCTTCTTAGCCCCAGGACTCATAACAAACTGAAACATAAGACAATTGAACGCCGACGTGGGCGACCTTTATGGGCCATCACCCTGAAGCTCGTCCACTTCGTCTGACGTAAGTGGTTAAGGCTCGACGCGGGCGTCGAGAAGAGGTCCGGGCTAACTGTCAGGCGGCCACAACCAGTGCGCCGCCTAAAATCTGTGGCTTTGGGACTAAGGCTCAAAGACAAGTCCGTGTTTTGACGGTGCTCCGGGTTGACCAGGCAGCAAAGATTAGGGGAGTTCAGGGCACCCCTGACTTTGGGCACACTGAACCTTACGAGTAACCCTCAAAGATGGCGAGATGGGTGGCCGCACACGACACATCTAGAGACCGTCATTTTCGGCTGTTCCGAGCCTAGATCTGGGATGGCCCGCCGCGGAGAGGCATCGAGGGAACCGACCTCGCCGCAACATTTTTCCAGCATACGACCGGGGCCGAAATGAGGCCTCGAAATTTTGTCTATTTTAGTACCATAATTAAAGATGGGGAAAAGGGATTAAGACCAGTAAGGGAGAAGATAAAAACATAATATCCCTTAATTTCTTTATTTTTCACGACATTTAATTCTAGGGGGAATACCCTTGTTATTTTATGTTCCCGGCAATGAAAATAAAAACATTGAAAAAGATGAAAGATGGTAAAAGAGAAAAGAAACAAAAGAAACTCGGCCATTTATTTAAACTTTCTCGGAAGTTAATTTTGGGGAATTTTTGGTTAATTTACTATTTCCGACAATAAAATTTAGGAAAAGGAAGAATGATTAAAAACGATGTGAGGGACGGGAACCCATGACTATTGGAAGATTGGCCTAATTTCGCCTCGATTACCCGCCATCAGCTATGACCCAGGATTGATAATTTTCTCTGGATTCCAACGGTTTTTCACTACTGCCTATGGCCGAGATTCCCTGCGTCGCTTTCCCTGGGTTGCTTGATTACTAACATCACCGCAGTTGGGACGTTCTGAGAGCAGGGGTCGCGTGGATAGTGTAAGGGGGGGGGTGCTACCTTGGGTCGACGGTATGGTATTTGGCTCGGTGCGGATACATGGTTCCGGGAGGTTCGGCGACATTCACGTTTCGGCATTCTACGACGGCCGACGTATTTCAGACTCGATATTCATTCGGCATTTGACTTATTCTAGGCTCGAGTTTGGCCGCGTCGATATATTCTGAGGATCGGTACTATCATGGGATTGCGACATTGTACGGTAATTTACCTATTTCAGGCTCGGTATTGGTACAACTCCGACATTTTTCAGGCTCGACATTGGCTCGATATTCGACGTGTCCCAGACTTGGTTCCGGTTCGGCCTAGGTATGGTATGAGTTACAACGACAACGAGTGGAAACCCCAGGTACGACATCGACGTAATTATCAGCTCCGCGTCGGTGTGATGCGTGTTGCTGCATTGATTTCAGGTTCGGTATCGGTCCGGAAATGAAATGGCGCCAGTCACTGCAGCTCAAGACGGGTTGGTGCAGGTTCGGTGTTGGACTTGGTTTTCGGCGGCTGATGGGACAGAATGCTGAAGGCTTTGGCGTCATTATTGTGGCTTCTGAGGCCTACTCAGACAGTTGCAGTCCGGCGAAAGGGGGGGGGGTCGCTGGTATGGGACTGGTGCCGCGTCATGAAATATGGCCCCATTATCTTACCACTGGACACCGATGTGGTAGCAGCAAAGCTGCTGCCGTGGTATATCGGATTACGGTGGTACCTTTTCTAAATTATGGGGTGGGTACCAGCCACAACTTGCTAACAGGCCTCGAGACCCGCTGGTACAGAGCTTGGGGGTGACAAAGTTAGTCGCGACGACGCTCACTTGAGGCTGCAGCCTCTGGTACCGGAATCATATAGGGAAAGTCACTGAACAACTGGGGGATTCAGACGGGGAGGCATTGAAGGAGGCGGGCAAGGCGTACCCAGCCCACCTCGCAACTCGACGCAGGCAGTTACGGGTAACGAAGACGGGGCGAGCTTGAACGGGGTATGCAYTGCGTGCACGGTGTTCCCCGCGGGGTCCTCAGGTGATTGGGGCATCGGGAGYTGTGCAAGTCGTGCCCAGCGCTCTTGCAAGGAGGTGCAGGTTGTCACGGGGGCGGGGGACACTCAACGCGAGGAGCGAACACATACGCTCGCACGAGGTGCGCATGGTGTACRYTGTGCMARGGCTGATTGACAGGGCGACGTGGATTAGGGAGACGAGCCATGGCGCGCCCAGTCATCTCCGTCCTGGTTAGCTCGRCGTAGGGAAGAGATGGGGCAGTGAGCAGCGTGCAAGGGAGAGAACRGACATAACGAAGAGGAGCAACTGGCGGGTGAGGAGAGCAGACTGAAGGGAGAAACTAGAGAGGGCTTATTGGGTCGAGACAAGAGAAGGCGGGAGCGGTTTAGCAAAGATACACTGGGGATGAGCGCCCGCCGTGTACCGTCACAGCCTGAGACACGAAGGAAGATTTCGTGGTAGCACGAGGAGAGGGAGTCGAGGGAGCTTAAGTGAAGGGGGATGCTACGCGCAGAGGGCCTGATGGGAAGTGTGCYCTTCGCTACGTCCCGCTGACAATGGGGAGCGAACARCGTTCGTAAATCCAGAGGGCTGCTATTAATGAGAACGGCGAGTGCAGGAATTGATATAAATCTCGGGCAGTCACTGTTGTCRTCTGAGTGACTACACGCGAACGGGCTGACCCCGGATCGCAACTCCTCGTATGCTTCAGCTTGGACGGTTTGCGTCTGCTTGTGAGTAATGGTGAAGTCCGAACAGGCCRCCCGCGCTTGATCACAACCAAGAGGGCGAACAACAACTCGTAAGTTTCAGGCACGCATAGCTATCAATATGACAGTGAGTTCAAAAGGGAAGAAAATCACACTAACTCGGCACTGCAGGTGAACCGAGGACGGGTACGGGACGAAGAAGCAAGGAATYACCCGTRTCKCGTAAGTATCTGACTGTCCCTTGTGGCCAGGTTCGCCACTGTAACGAACGAAATTCGAGGACTCAGAGAAGAGAGACTATGGGTGTGTGTGTAGGCGGTAAACAGCTTGACCTCGCTCTTGGACGGTTACTGATTTGATGCCTCGAGTGGGTCGGGAACTTCGAAAGTCCGTCTGGACCGAGGGAAGCTTGAGAGAAGAGGAGTGAAAGGCGGGCCAGAACAGCAAAGAGCGAGAAGGGTTAAGCGAAACCCGACGTATTGAAGGAAAGGGGGAAGAGAAGGAAGGGCATGGGAAGGAGAAGAACAGCGGGGCAGGGAACAGGAAGAAGAACGGAGAGGGAAGTGAATCAGAGGGGAAAAGAGYGGTGGAGTGCCCACTAGTTTTTCTTCCCTGTCTTTCAAATTTAATTTAGTCGAYRCTGCATAACTGACRYTGTTTTACACCCGAAGATACGTGGGGTGAGAACTGGGGAATGAGGCGCTATCTCGCTTTTACTAGCTGGCTCRGATCACTGTGAGACAAGCCCCGCTTTGACTTTCGGCTGCTTGCTCCAATCATTCGTGAATCAAGCGTTGCTYTGAACWGCAGTTCCTTGCACGGATCTTCGTGAGTCTAAGTGTGGCTCTACTCACYGTTGCATAGCGACTTGCGGACTCGGTCATGCCCASCCAACTGTTATGAAAGGAAACTATGCCGTCGTTTGGTACTGAACAGATTGTGAGCTGTTTGGTGGGTATGGGTTGGTCCATATTTTGGTTGAGTGGTGAACTTGCTCCTGTGTGAACTCAATGAATGATTAAGATAATTGCGTGTTCCTGGTGTTTTGCAAGCCTATGGCATGATCGGTTAATTGCGCGTTCCTGTCACTGCGCAAACCCAAGGAATGAACAACTAATTCCGCGGGCAAGCTGTTGTGCGAACTCGTTGACGGAACAAACTATCGAGAATACTCGTTGCCGTCTGAACTCGCTGACCCACCAGTCAAATTGGAATACTGTTGCGGTCCGAACTTGCTGTTCCTTCTACTTACGGTTGCTCTGCTATCTTTGTTGAGTACGACGTGAGCCAAACTTAATTCTTGTTTGAAGAATTTGAAACTGTCTGGTCAGGGCATTTCCGAGGCTAACCTTATTCCCAGCCCAAAGCGGCTTTGAAGACGTGCCTTAAGTTTCGTTTATTTCGTACATTTATTACAGCTTACCAGAAGGGAATCATTGACCAGGCATGAGAGGGGGAATGTAACGGGTAAACTAAAATCATCACCCTGCTGGTCGTTGAGGACCTCGGACGCGGGCGCGGCGAGTGACAGGCGCCGTTGCCCTTGGCTTCGGCGACAAGTGGGTGCCCCTCCCCGGGTTTCCTCACACCGGTACTCCCTCGTAGGTTCTGGCGGTCTTCCCCTGGCCACAGGTTTGGGAACAGGCAAACCTTTGTGTTCCAAGATGTCAT